AAAGTTAGTTTTATAAAAGTTAGCATTAACGATTGATTTTATTAGGCTTTTTAAAAGCTAGGCAGATCAGCACTGTAACACCAACTCAAAATGGTTTGTTTTCACAGAAGGCTTTTAATTGATGTTGTCCAATGTTATTAATCCTGAATCATATTATCAAAATAAGATATGGTGCCAGATATTCATCAGTGGTAGCCCTTGAATGTTACTTAAGGGTGTGTGAAAGCTTTAATGCAGCCAAGCTGCACAATGCCAGTAACAAGTAATGTAGGTCATTACTTTTGCCATTTGCCAAATAATAGTAACAAGTAATTAGTAGCTGATTAAATTGATTACATAACTTGTTTAACACTGATCACACATCTGGATCTTAACTGATCAAATATACTGCACTGCAATGGCAGGTGGACCCAAAGAAATCAAATCTTATTATGGGCCCATCAACATCCAAGCAGAGTTCAAATTCATGATCAATTCATTTTTCTTAGTTATTTTTCAGAGCATCCCCCTGTTTTGGCAGATGACAGGTGTTACGTATGTTGTTTAAAGCTCAGGCCTTATTGCCTTAGGGGGTCCTGGGAGAGGAAGTGTTCTCAAAGCCAGAGGTGAGCTCAGTATTTACATTAGGATATCTGTTTGTATGGCCTCAGCTGCATCCAAGCCCCCTTGCAGGGTTTGTTCACTATGACAGTCACAGCAGGTGGAGCGACCTTCACTGACCTCTGAGACAAGCAGGCACAAGAGCTTACAAAGTTGAAAGAGTAGTTCTTCCCATCACCTCAGATCCCCACTGAGATCGCTGTGGCTAATTTGCATGGTAATGGCAAACGTATCATACACAGACAATTCATTAACACAATAAAAAGCTGATGGTATGTTTGACTTGGCTGCATCTGACCAATTGAACAGAGATTTATAATGGAGCAGGTTCGCTCCAAACAGCGTTGGGTATCATCTCTCCTGTGCAGCGGTGTTTATGTAGGCCGAGTTTAAATATTTGAGGAGCACATGTGGGGATGAATGGTGGCACAGGATCTCATCATAAAGCTGTGAAGGGCAAGCCGGCGGGGGGTCATTTTAACAGTAGTGTCAACATCATGAGATCCCACCTCTTGTCGACTCAGCAAACAGTATATTGCAGACGCTCTGAAAGGAGGTGACGGCTGCTTTCTGGAAAGGCCCGTTGGTTTTCTCAGAACACCTTTGATAGTGCCAACAGCTTTGGACATGCTCCCTCATTGATTCTGAGTAGTGGGTCTAAAGTAACCATGAGGGGAAAACTAACAGAGTGAGATATAACGGAGTAGGATTTGGGACTGATGAACAAATTGCTCATTGGACATTGGTACAAAACTGCTGTTGACGTTGCACAAAGAGCAAAACAGCTGCTGCACCATTCACTGAGGTAGTTGGTCTTGTCGTGCCATTCCTGTGTCTACAGTGTCATTACGTAATGCCACTGTAGACACAGGAACAAATGACGCTCTTTATCTTCTCCAACATCTTTTCCATTTATTTTGACCAGTCAGAGGGCAAAAAGAATTGTCTGCTATTGGTTTTGCAGATGTGATGGAGAATATTAGATGATGCATGACTACAGCATTGTTCCTCTTTTCTGATTGCTTCATTGTCCCTCTGGTTTATATCAGTTTCCCTTCTGCCCAGGACATCCCCAGCAGTATCCCATCTTCCCCAAAATCTATGGTTTCCCTTGCAGCTCACACAGCTACTGATGGCTAGAAGTATCTGTGGAAGTTTCCATGATCCCACTCACTCAGTCGCCGGGGCAAGAGCCACATCAAGCAGGCATAGCTGTCAGCTACTGCTGCGTGGGTTTCTGTTTACCCAGCCTGCCTGTCTGTGGACATCCAACACAGCTCACACATCAATCACCACACCGTTCACATGCTTTGCTCACTTAAAGCAGTAAGTTTCAATCCAGTAAGAAATTCCTACTCTGAAAGAATAAATATTACTCTAATGACAAAGAAATTAGCCATCTTGATCTTTTTAGAGAGTTTAACTCATGTACAAGGATCACATACTAATTTATATCGAGAAATACACATGCTTTTATTTTACTTTACGGTTGTAAAAGCCATTGCTGAAAGTAATTCAGCACCTTGCAGTACAGTTTTCATCTAAATCATTTCATTTTTGACCCCAACTCCTCCCTTTTCGCTTGTATGACCATGCATATTTCCATCCATCACTCCCAGCCATCCATACCACACTCTACCACAAGTCTCCATCTTCTTCTCCCTCGCAGCTCTCTGTTTGTCTGTCTGTGGGCATGCATGTCTGCTGGGGGTTTCCATGCAACTCTCCCTTTCCCAAAACAGACACCTGCACTACCCCACCCATCCCTTCTGACGTAGACGCTGCCTACTTGGAAAAGCAAAAGAGAAGAACTGTGTTCAGAGTAAAAGGGAATTAAAGGGAGAGAAAGAGAGAAAGAAATAGAGGGAGTCTGTGATGCCTTGAGACGCAGTTGATTTTGTTTATTTGAAGGGCAGCAAATTAACTGCATACAACTCTCCCTTAGTGGTCTGACCTGACGCCAGTCACCATCTCTAATGTACACCAGGGGGGTTTAAAGGCGCTTTAAATGGGAATACAAATAATCCACCAGTTGGAATACGTGTTACAGTACAACAGGAGCTTTGGTACAGATGTGACTTAACTCCAATGCCACATCATCAAGAACACTGGTTGGTTTTTCATAATTCGCAGTAGCGTTCACCGCAAAGCCTTTAACCGTACTTAGGCCTGGCTGTGCAAACTGTATGTAGGTATAAATGGGCAAATTTCAGGGATCTGATGAATCTTCTGTGCATGTACCTGAAAGCTGACAACGCAACACCTGCCCTTCACCTTATGCAGCCAGTCATAAGGTAATAGTCATAGTGTGTAGAGTTGGAAAAGTATACAGAGTTGAGAATCTCAAACTCCCTTTTTTAATTCTTCAAGCAACAACCTCACTCACTTTGTTTGTGTTCATTCCAATGCAACACTACCGATGCCTTTGACCATAGTCGAGTGTGTAAAAGTGTGCGTAGATCTCTCTCATTTTTACATTTCATCTGTCTCAGCCCTCTTTGTGAGAGTGTGGCTGTTGAGAACACCTCCCTAATCCAGTCTTGGGTGTTTTCATCTAAAAAAAAAAACAGAAGACTCTCAAACGGACCCTCAACAAGCTGTAGATGTGCCTAAACACTGTGATGCCCTTCAGGTTGTAGATGATGGCAGTTAACGCCCTCCAACCTTGAGCTAAGTTGCTACTGCTACTACTTGACAGAGGTGTTTTCCAATTCCCAAACTGATCTTAGTTCTGCACATTGCAATTTGGGGATGTCACAGTTCTAAAATTCATAAACCTTCTTTTGGCAGGTAAATTAATTTGATTGACAGTTCATCAGGAAACTGCCATGTCTCTCCAAATTGTCTCACAGTTATGGATTTAGTCAAACTGCGAAAGGTCTGTGACTCACATATTAGCAAAGCCGAAGAAGTGAGCATTTATTATAAATATTAGAAACATGTCCTTTAAATGTCTTAGCTAATTTATCAAACCTGTCAGCAGCTCATATTAACAGCTGACCCACTGTTTAGAGCAATTCAAATATTTTGTTGTATGTGTCTGGCTAAAGTGTTCAGATGTTTGTGTAAGTGTTTATGAGTTGACAGCTTTGTCTAATATTACATGAAACTGACTCTGCAGCAAAGAAAAAAAAATCACCATTGTTTTACAGTGAGAGGAACTTTGTCCAATTACTGCAAACCACCTGTTGGATTTCAAACAACAAAATAGCAAGACGTCAGGAGCAATCATTTAAACAATACGTGACCATGTCCAGGTCCTACAAGAGGTTTATTTTGTCAGCTGGCTGAATGGCTTTTGGCTGCAGCTCTAATAGATAGCAGTCCACACGAAAATTCATTTATCCAAAGGAAAGATCTGTTTAAATGACATGCATATCATGCTGCTTGTTGTAAAGAGCTGTAGTTTTCTGAGAGGAAAAAAAGTACTTTCAAACACGCAGAGGTTTAGGGAGTATGCCCCCTCCCTATGAATTATGGGGTAAATGGTATTTTCCCTATGATTCACAGATGTGAGTGGTGTTTGAGGAAACACTGTCTCCTAGTGGGGACAAACATGCATGTTCACTTCTTAATACTCAGACAGAAACCTGCCATATATTAGCATATTGTGTCACTCAGAGTTGTCTTTTGATAGTGTTTCTGTAGTGAAATTATACCATGGGTCCCTCTGACCATCTTCAGTGGATGACATGTGGAATATAAGCTATATAATATGGCAAAATGGATTAGTCTGATTTTGTTTTTAACATGGCACAAAAACACTTGGAATGTCGGTCACTATTGGTCTCTGAAATAAAGTACATTTTATACATTTGCACTTTATTTATGACTTTAACCCTTATCCTTCAAAATGACACTTGTGTGGTATAACCTTGTTGCCAAAATGATGTCATTTTGGTTGCCATTTGCTGGGGTATGATTTTCCAGAGCTAGCACACTAGTATGAGCTTATGGCCCTTTGACAGCTTGGCTCACATGTGGCTTTAACACATGTGAGGCATTTCTTTGACAACCACACTATCCAGCCCTCTGGACACTGAAAACAAAGGCCAGACTTTGTTGAAAGGTCTAGCATGTGTCTGTTTTCTGTGAGGCTGAGCTCACGTGAGGAGGAGTTTAAATTAAAGCTGAGCATATGTGAAATGTCAGTGTTGGCCTTGACGTTCGGCCTGGGCAAACAAATTACTTTAGATGATGACTTAGATCCAGACCCTAGGAAATGTGATTAGCAGTCTTTAGAGTTTTCCCTATGAAAAAGCATGTAAAACCTTTATGATATATGATAGTCGATTAGGTCATGCTAAGTTGTGAATTTTTTTATGCCATTCTCAATTATGTAGGATTGACAGGAAATACTGCAGATTGTTTCGGAGCAGTTTAATTTCAGACAGATGTTGCATGATGGTCCGAAGATGTAAATGCAATTGGAAAAGCATCCATTCAGCTGTTGTTACATAGATAATATTTCAGACAATTACCCATCAGTCATACAGTAAAACATGAGTGCAGGTGTTCATACAGAGCCTTTGTCAAATGTAGACACAAGTTTTGACATGCAGTATGTTAACTGCTGAGCGGATCAGTTTGTTAAAGGCTAGCAGGCGTCTACAGCAGTATACCTTTTTTAAATTTCTAACATGCAAGTATGGACGACAATGAAATAATAAATGACAGAGCACACGTGAGGCAAAACATATCTGGCTCTTGATTTGAATACACACAAATATGTCGACCATACTGGAGTTTTTGCACATTTTAGCCCATTTACAATAAATCAAGTAATGCCTACATTAGTAATGACAACTTGGAACTAAACTTTTTTGAAGCCATTGGTTTCCTTTACCTTCAATACATTATGAAAATGTGTTCGTAGTTTGCCTATTTATATCACACTTATGCAACAATTGCAGGGCGCATAGTCAACAGTCAAAATGTTTGGATATGTATTTTCACTTTTGTCAGAGAGGAATGGTACATTCATGTGCTATTATATGGATGGATTATATATTTCATCTTCTTTTTCATCAATCTACTTTATTCCCACCTGCTACAATAACATAGCTTGTGAATATGAGGCTGGCACACAAGATGTGGTATATATGATTTATAACAAATGGCAAACATATGTAGAACATACCAGTATGGTCCTTTAAGTCAGTACTTTGGTGTGTAATGCAGCAGTCACATATTGAGGATGATTAAAAGTGCATTTTGTGCAACCAGCAACACAGAAAACAAGAAAATTAAGGTTTGTTTCAATTAAATATTACTGATCCCTACTGAATGATCAATTACACTATGTATTTTAACTTCACACAATTTAAATTATGATTTAGGCGACATTTCTCACATTTATCTGTGTTTGTCTACCTTCCAGCCCCCAATTCAGTCCCAAAGCAACTCTTGCTGGCTCCCTCAGCTGAAGACAGTCAGCCTCTTCTTCATGTAAAGAAAAGCAAGGTACGTAGCTCCTCCTAGAACACCTATCAACAGAGTGGTGCCAAGAATAACTGGCGCGTTCTTCCTGGCAACGCGAAACGCCACAGGAAGGACAGCAGAGATCAGGATGTTGTTGACATGGCCCAGCACTCTCCTAAAGGCTTTGCGTTCCACCACACGCTCGTAGTATGTTTCTAGGTTCACGCGGTTACCGTTGCCCCAGTAGCGCCGGGAGAGGCCGAGGAACTTGAGGCGGTGTAAGGTGACTGCCAGAGAGACGTCCGCCATGCTGAAGAAGTCACCACACAACCAGGACTGACTGCCTTCCTCTACGAGTTGGAGAGGATGGAGAAGACATGGCATCAAAAGAGTCAGCACTGGCACATGTGTTAACGTTATTACAGTCATAAAATGTAATTGTGCTTTTATTGTGTGTCTGTAAGTGGTTGCTAAGTGACGAGCTGTTGTGGTTGTGTACCTGGTGTTTCTTCCACCCTCCTCTGTAGCTCTGTCTCGACCTGATCCATGACACTCTCCAATTCATCCAGAAGCTTCTTCAGGTACTTCATGTTGTCATGGTCAAACAACTTGGACTGCAGAAACATTTTTATATATAAATGTATTAGTATTCAATTACTCACATAACACATTGTAGACAGAGAATCATGCAAAAAAAGGGTTTACATTTTCCAACTTTAAAGGTTTAAAAAGTTAGCTTTAGCAAGGGTTTGATTTGTTTTTTGTTCCCTACCATGACTAGATTTAGCTTCTATATCATTTAGTGATGTGGAATAGCAAACTGAATAGCAAAGATGTTGCTTCATCAAGATCAATATTTTCTTATTACAGATAATCATGTATCTGGGGGGAAATCAGTAAGTTAACTTTGGCTAAGGCTTATGCTGTGGCTACCCTATCTCACTAGTTAGCTTACATTTGATATTGTTCTCTTGCTTTAGCTGTCTAGTTAGCTGTGTCTCTATGGCAGAGTGCCCAGTAACAGTGAGAGGTGCCTCTATATCCCAGAGATTGCCCAACTAGAGTGCACTTATTGCAGCCTGGACAGTAATAAAAAGCCATAATTCACTATTATGGGGAAATAGACTCCCAAATGTCTAGTCTTTACTCAGTTTAGAAGTATGTGTTTTGGCTCTGGGAAGGTACAACCTCCAGTGTAAAATGCAAAAAAAACAAACAATCCAAAACAATAGTTTTGCTTATTTAGCATCCTGCTGACTTGAATAGCTTACTTTTAAGCGCCTCTGTTTTGCTATATAAGCATCTTTAAGCTCTGGGTTCTGCTCTGCCAGTTTCTTCAGCTCAGTTTGTGTGTTTCCGATCTGTGCTGTCATACAGAAATAAGCATCATGTTAGAGACATTGAATTATACAATGATTATTACTGCAAAACTTGATTGTGGGAATTCATAATTTCATATATAGAAAAGATTTGGATCATGTCAGATTGTGTGTTTCAACTTCATCTGTTGTACCTTTCCTTTCATGCAACGCCTCCCTCTCATAAATAGACAGTTTCACATTAACAGTAAATATAGAACATGCAGACAAGAGTGAAAGATGTTTAACTAAATAGAACATTTTAAATTTGAGTGGGTTGCGCAGTATGAGTGTACCCCAGAAAAATCTGTACTGTCTTCATGATACTATCTTGGGACATAATGAGATCTCTATGGAAGGTTGCCAACACTTTGTTGAGTCCATGCCTAGAAAATATATGGCTGTTACCCTGGCAACAAGGGGTCTCATCTACTACAAGGTGACATGGTGGAGGCCTAGTAAGTGTGTGTGTATAAATGCAACAGGAACAAAGCTGTATAAGCGAGCGAGTGCACCACAGTGTATCTTACTTCTTATACATGTGGCAGCATATGCAGGTATGTGGGAGTCCACTGTGATCTCAGGGTGAAGGATGCAGCCATGGGTATAGGCATCCATCTGTAGTGAGTCCAGCAGCTCTCTGTAGTGCTGCACTCTGAGATAGTATGTACTGCCCTCTTCAGGGATCAGCTTTGGAGTGCCCTCTGCGAGTAAATGAAAAGGAAGGAGCAATTACGTCAGGTGTCACTTTGTTTCCTTACATCTTTTCTCTCTCCAAATAAAACAGAATCAAAGTGTTTTATTAACTTTAAGCTTGCCTATAGGAGAATATATGAGGGTTAGGAGGAGTGTTTTTTAGGTTTCATTTACTTCATTTTTCAGAAATAGTTCCATGCTTACCAGATTTCTCTTCTTTAAAGGCGACTGGATGAGACTCTTAGAACAAAGCTATCATGGATCAGTGCAAACCAAGAGAAAATGGAAAATTAAAAAAAAGAATAAATGAAGGACTGAAAAAACAACAACAAAAGCACAATACAAAATGTACAACACATTTAAAACAAACAAAAAAACATTGTATTTTATTTAAAACTGAAACAAAAATGCTAAAAGAGGAAAACAAAGTAGGAAACTTTGAATGGATGGGTAGAAGACCGAGTTTGGGGCTGCCAAACAGTCTTTATTTAGTCTCACCGTCATTGAAATTCTGCTCCAGATAGTCCATGATCTGTGTTGGGTCACAGATGACGTTTTCATTGTGGACTAGGACTGGTACCTCACCAGTGGGATTCAGATGCATAAACCAGGGCTCGTTGTGTTCACTGAGCGGCAGGCTCACATCATACTCCTCACAGTGCAAACCTTTCTCTGCTATGGCCAGACGCACCTGCAAAACAACAACCGTGACAAACAGAAGTTGATGATAGAAGTTTAAATATCTCAGTGCTTACACCTGTGGATCTTTCTGTCTCTTGATCTAAGACATCTTCTATCATAGTTTTTGCATTTCTGCACATGTTGCTGTCTTGTTCATTTAAGATCACAGCTAACCAGTTTACAATGCAATGACTGCCACCTTAACCTCAACTAGCCTGACATGTTGTGGCAAGAACCCCCCAACAGTAGAAAATGTAGACCCAGAATTTCCTCTAATTTACCACATATTACTATGAAAAAGCAGAGCTGTGTTACGATACGTTCCAACTACATTAACAGAAGTAACAACAACAACAAACACAGCTATCACAGTGACAACACAATGGACACGAATATCAAAAATATATATCAAATAAAGTACATAAATGTAGTGTTTTACAAGATTTGTTGTACTAAGAGTGCAACATGGTGTTAATGAGAATGATGACAGTTAAAGTTCATTAAAAAATATAGTACTCATTGTCTTTAACAGAGGGGTATTTAGTAAAAGGGAAAACTGATATAGTAAGGTATTTTTAACTTAAAAGTCTACTTTTCATTGTTTCCTCCTTTATTTTAGTTTTCTTTTTATTATCTAATCTGTATATAAATATATTTTACACTTGCTATGGCAATGTAAAAAAATGTTCAGGTGTCAATAAAGCCCCTTGGGATTAATTGAACTGAACTGAACTGAATGTGATGATAGAAAAAGAACGTCCTTTTAGATTGTATGTAAACCCTGGAGGGATAATACAGAAGAATTAACCTAAAAGACACTTTTAATTTACAGATGTTTGTCCGGTTTTGACCAGATATAAGACAGGAACAGAAAACAGGGAGTCATTTTGCGATAAAATGCGAACTGTGTGGCTCTTGGAGGAGAAACAGATTTGACCAACACAGGTAAAGACAGCGTCCACAGGTAAATACGATGATAAATATGATGATATGTATTCCTGACGAGTATTATAACACCAGAAATATATTATAGCTCTATATGAAAGCCCTGCTGGGGAGCTGTCCACTGCCCTGTGGTGCTGAAACGTAAAGACACTCACCTTCTGAGAATTGAAGGACTGCGTCCAGTGATACAGAGTTATTTTAGACTGGCTTTGTTTCGCAACTGTGGAACATTGCTCATCTGCATCTTGCTCCGAGCCCGTCTCTATAAGGGCTGCTGTCTCATCTTGGGATTCAGAGCTGTTTTCGGACGCCATTTTATCTGTTAGTATTTTAGGGGACAAGTGAGGGTAGCACACAGTATCAAAGTCAACCAAATGCACCCCCTACTGGCGCGGAGTGGAACCTGAAGCAGCTTCTTCATTTTGAGAGAATTTGTCACAAAATTGTAGAAAAAAAACATAAATTTATTTTTGCAATATAGCTTTATTATATTATTAATGTTATATTTTTACAATGTTAGTTTAAATCTACACATTTTCTTTTTCTTCTTCTTCTGCTGTCTCTCTCTCTCTCTTTATGTCGGTCTTTCTTTCTTTCTTGTTGTTATTGTTATTGTTATTGATGATGATGATGATGATGATGATAATGATGATGATGGTTCCGGTAGCAGTAGTTGTTGTAGTAGTTTACAGTATGTTATCCATAGGCCATTCATTTATCCATTTGCTCTATTACCATTGTATCATCTGCCTACATACATTATAAACAAATACTACCAGGTTTGAACTGTAAGTACCATTAAACGTTCACAATCTGAGACATAAAGACAACTAATGGTTCACACACGTACAGTTTCACACTACACAGCTCAACACTTTATTATTCCAGCTATGCAATACATGCATTTGGACACCAGAGATCGCTGTTATCTATTCCTTTATTGTGTAAGCTCCTGTTTGTCTACACATGCTGTTATTTGGTCAGCTCTGATACAAAAAGTGGTCATATTAAAGAGCAATAGAGTCACATAAGGTGATACGTATTCTTACGGACTGAATGAATTCAAAATAATTTCATTTTATGTACATTTCAGAGAGAGAATGATCTAGCTGTTGCACTGACTCAGTTATGTCACTGACTGATGTGTTGACTAAAATGACTTTTATTATACACTCATGGACTCATCTTGAAGTCTTTGCAGTCATAACCTAAAACACTTTTACCCACTCATTGCAAAAACACTATATACTACATACAACTGTGTTAGCTCTCATAGTGATGATAAGAAGATACTATGAACAAAGAATTATGATTTTTTTGTTGAAATTCTGTTGTTGCAGCAGCACAAAGAGAGACAGAAGTACAGATCAATAGAGAAAAAATTAATAAGAAGAAGAATATAAAAAAAATTCATTTAAAATTATACCAGATTACAAAACTACGAGGTAAAGTGACAGTGGTGTGATTTATAGCAGCAGAGTCAATCAGTCCAGCGTACAGATTAATAAATAATATGATTATATAATGATACTTGGTGTTTGTCTGTATGAGGATGATAATTATAATAAAAAATATAGTAAAATTATATAATATATTAACATAATATGGCATGATAATAGAGTTTGGGATATGAGATATAGCATAAGAATGAATGAATGAATGAATGAATGAATGTAGTGACATAACATAATATACAATATTGGACAGCAATATAGCATATATTATAAATATATTTTATATTATAATATCATATAATATTAAGTAAAATATAGGCTAGTGTGTATATTATAGTATAATATAATATATACTCAATAATAAATATAGTATAAGATATAATACATACGCAGGCCTAGAGTGTATGTTCAAACAATAATGTAGTTATTGAATAAAACTTAATAGAGTCTCCAAGTAAACATTATCACTCACTAAATAGGCCATGGGAATATTATTATGTAACTATGGGCGATGAGATAAAGAAAATAAATAAATAGTCATCATAACCTTAGTACTGATCATCATAAATAACTCTGTGGGTATTATGGGACATTGTAATATGGGGACTCAACACAAAGTGAGGCGCGTATCAGATGTATGGTGCATTGTGGCAAAGACATAGAGGTGTCTTATGAATGTATTATTTTATTTGAGAGGGTGTGCTCTTCATTGAGGGGGGAGAGAGAGGAGAGTGGGAGGTCCCTGTGGCGTGACGTTGCGATTGGCCCAGTGTCTTTCCTTAGCAGGGACTCGACGCCTCTCTCTCTCCCTCTGTGATCAGTGGGTGAGAGGGGGGAGACGAGCAACACACAGCGGAGAACCCGGCGTGCGCCTCCGGTAAATGACGCCCACCATTCATACCTTTACACTTACCGTTACGCATGCCTTTTGCATTGCATGTCAGTGTCTGGAAGTACTATCCCCTGTCCTCATCCTCCTATTTTCTGTCCCTTTAGTCATCATCCTGTTGGCATCATCCTTTTCATCTCACCACCGGTCCTGGATCACCCCAACCTCGGTCCTGGAGACGCCTGAGTCTGTAGCAGCGCACGATCTGCTTTATTTCCAGCCTATATCTGAATGACGGGCGGAAGGTTTGACTTCGACGACGGTGGCACTTACTGCGGGGGGTGGGAGGATGGCAAAGCCCACGGACACGGCATCTGCACCGGACCCAAGGGCCAGGGCGAGTACGCCGGGTCCTGGTCGCACGGCTTTGAGATAGTAGGGGTGTACACCTGGCCCAGTGGGAATACCTACAAGGGCTACTGGTCCCAGGGGAAGCGGCATGGGCTCGGTGTGGAGAATAAAGGAAAGTGGATGTACCGCGGAGAGTGGAGTCACGGTTTTAAGGGTCGGTACGGTGTCCGGCAAAGCCACAACACACCTGCTAGATACGACGGTACCTGGAGCAACGGGCTGCAGGATGGATATGGGATCGAAACCTATGGCGATGGCGGTAAGAAACCCTGGCTTATAAATACGCTCCAGTGTTTGTTTAACGTGTGTATCGCTTTAACGGCTATGACTGATGGTGTGTTATGTAGCCCGTGTGCGTGTGTGTGTGTGTG